GCAGGAACAAAAAGCAAGATTAGTTTATTGCAGTTTTCTGGAGTTTGTAAGTAAAATGAGAAGACTAAGACCTTGAATAGAAATAGCACCGAAGATACTCAAATCAGTTTTCAATTTATGAAGTCTTTGCAGGAGGAAGAGGAGATGAAGGAAGGAAAGGTTTCCCCTGCAGTTCAAAAATTCTAAAAGTTACTGTGAACAATAAATATTAGGGCTTCATCTGTTTGGAAGTCCATTACTACAGGGATATTGCATGGTTGTAGTGCCCACCCCCATTACAGCCTAGTCAATTGGCACCTGGAAAAGAAGCCATTATGAACTGGTTTTATGGACTGGAACAATCACCTTGGCAAGTTAGTAATTTTTTGTCACTAAGTCTCAAAATCCTTTATTAAGGAAGCTATTACAGATAACCCACAACATGATTTTTATTGTTTGCCACAGCTATTTCTCTGTGAATTAATCAGACAACAGCACTTTTTAGAATAACTATTTGGGGTTTTTTTTCTGGCCCAAGCTCACAAGGTGGTAGTAATCTAGCAAAATTTCCACAAGAACAATGAGAAAAATTCTTTTTTGCAAGTCCTTCTCTATCTAAAAGAATCTTCAGAGTTTCTTCCTTTAACCTAGTCTCCTAATAGCTTCTTTTTTTTTTCCTTGAATTGGCACTTGAAAAAAAAGAAAACAGCAAAAAAATGAAACAAAACAAGAACCTTCAGTGAGTCTTAGAATGGCCCAAAGAAATCTTTCTCTTCTTCTGACTCCTAGGACCTATTCTATTCGTTGTATTTTATCAGTTACTATTTGTGTGTCTGATGAGAAACAAAAAGGAAATCATAAACTAAACCAGCACCCATAGTGTACATATTATATTTTGTGAATGCAAAGGACTTGTATCAGTTAAAGTTCATTGGACAGCACTATTTCTGTATGCATTTTAAACAGTGAAAAATGTATTTTGATCAATCTGTTTTAAAATTAAGGTGAAGCTACGACAGAAAACATTGGTGTTTGTTCAGTAAAATCCAATATTCAACTACAGCATTTAATTAAAAATAAACCCTGAAGTATAATTTCCTTGTTGCCTATGAGAGATAAGAGTGTGGTCTGCAAAGAAACTGATTGCATAATGCACATTCCCATCACACCACTCAGAGAGAAAAACTAAAATTTCAGAGCCAACCCTTTGAAGGCAGAAGTTGCAAGGGATCCAAGCCAGAGGGAGAGAGCAATGCTAGGTTTGAGTTAATTTGATTTCATTTTTGTGAAAAATCTGAATCATTGCCAATTACACATTCACATAAAATTAAGTACATTCCTTTCAGCATAAATCTGTGTATTAGGTTTTATCCACTAGATGAGTCAGTTTTAGAGATAGTGTAAATCAGTCCACCTCATTTTAAGTCTAATGTATCCCACAGAAGGATCTTTCTATGATATGGAATTTTCTTGGTAGGTCAGTTATGTTTTAAATACAATAAATTATTTTAGAGTTCTTCAGATATTTGAACACTTAAAGATGCTCTGATAATTGTTACCAGTTCTCTGGATATATACATATAAAACAGCAGGTGTATCTGCAATATAGTTATTTACTGATTTTATATAAAAAGCATTTTCAAA